AAGTTATCATAGTATAGAATAATGTATCTTACCGCTGTTTGTATGTCTATATGTTTAGATCTGCCTCATTGGCCGAGTGGTCGCAAGTGCGATTCCCGAGCAAGGGGTCTCGGGTTCGAGTCGTGCAAAGTATTACTGGGTTTGTAAAAACCTCAGTAGTAGCACGGAGTCTTGAATTGTGGTGTGCCCGGTATATGGCAATAGGCTCACCCCCTATTACATGGGACTCATAACATAAATAGTGAAAAGTGGGTGTTACATTGTACAGTGGCATTAAGTGCCGTAATGTGCACCTCTGCCTACCCCTTCGGGAATAAAAGGCGTGATGTTATGTTATGTGTTGAGATCTTTAAAACTATTCAATGGATTTTGATAGAGTTCTTTAGGATTAATAGACAGAGTGATTTAGGAGGAAGGTGTAGTACATTTATAATATCTCCGAATTTATAATATGCGAAGCCGTGAGCAAAAGCTAGTATAATATAAACTACAAAGCAAATGTTATATAATTCAGTTTGCATTCATTGCAAGGTCTTCAATCATTGATGTAGTGCATCACTTAGATTTAAAAAACGGATAAGATACTGATTAGATAAAATAAATACAGGTTGCAATTACCACTGTTTAAAAATATAGGTATTTCTGGTATCTGCTGCATTGCGGTCTCAAAGCACCAGCTGTCATTTTTCTTAAACTAAATGTCATTTGTTACCAGAATATTAGATGCTAGAAAAAAAATAAGAACTTGTATTGTATGTAGGTAAGTACAAGCAGGTCTAGAAACTGGATTCATTTACTTTAACTCGTCAATTACCGTCATTATAGACACAATTATAGAACAATAGGTTGCGGTCACCGGTGACCGCTTGGTGTATGACAGTTTAAACATAAAGGTACATTCAATATCATATCTAAAACACTAAACAATATCTCGTGAAGTATTCTCTTCTATGTAAAAAACCTGTGTTTAAAAATCCGTCTAGCAGTTTCAGAATTAACCACATTCAAACATACAAACATAGCGAGGACACTTTAATATAACTAAACCGTATCTATTTAATGACAATTCATACAGTAGTTTTGGAATTAATCTCATAATACATCATAATATAGGCAGATAGACACAGCGAAGAAAGACGAACAGATTAAAAGTGTGACATAGTCATGTGTCGGTACGAATGGGCCGCCTCGACTGGAGCGAAACCACGGCGTCACAAAAATAACGCTTGCGTTGTGTTTCGTCGTGTGAATGAGGTTACCGGAGGCCCAATTACTGCCCTCCCCAATCTCCCCAATCCCTGAATCCTCAACTGTCATCAAATTCCTAACCCTCAAAGTCCGGTAACGCACTTGTACAGCCTCTAGTGTTTCGGTAAAAGAGACAGACCTCTGAGTTTGTTTCGGCATTTCTTCTCAGAGTAGTCAGTTAGGAAATGTCGACCTCATCGTTCGCTTGATAAAATTGACGTGTAAGAGTGCTGCCTTGTAGCCTATTTGCAGAAATAAATTCACTTGTTTCACTTCACTTGGATGTCCAACTGTCCATGGGCGGCGCCGATTGCTTACCATCAGGAGATCCGTCCCATGAAAGTAAATTCAAAATGGAAATGATCTTATCTACTACTAGTATGAATAGTATGTCTGTAGTATGTACTAGACCGTGAGTACCTAAGTACCTAGTTTATATAAATTATTGAGTAACAAAGTAATAAATAACATTTACACTTATTGCATTACAGGGCGTGGTCCTACTTCTAAGTGGGAACTTGTAACAGTGGAATTGGAAACTGCTTTTATGCAAGTACAGTCGGTGAAATGAATGGTGTATGGGCAAAATATCAAAGAGGTTTAAAAGGTTTAAAAAAAAACACATAAGTATATTTTATTTAAGTTCCCGTAATGTCCTATTTTAACACCTATACTCCGTCTGTTTAGGTAGTTAACTATTTGTAAACAAACCATAAAAAGAGTTCTTTATAGTTGACATTTCCATGACTCAAAATACTTCATAAGAAAATAAAATTGTTTCCATTTTTACGACAGTTTTCTCTATTAAATGTTATGTTTCTGTTCCTTTTCACTTATTTCTTAGTAAATATTATATATATATCTGCTTGAGCATAATAATTTAATAACATTTATTAAATAATATAATATTTCATTACAATAGACACCATAAAGAGCCTAAAATGCCAGGTATCCAAAACCTTTCTTTATGAACGAAGCTTAGACAATGTTGTCAAATTAAAGAGTACAATTAAGATGTAGCGCGACAATGAAAGTAGCGTGTATTACGTTTAGTCGGTTAATCAGGCGCCATTGACAGCTCTCTCGTCGTTTGCGCTCGCGTTGCTATTTTGTTGAATTTATCTTGTTTCTTTGTTTTGTTTTTGTTATTACGTTATTTAAGTTTAGGTTATTCATCGTTTGTAAATAATGTGTTCAAATATATTGAAGAAACTTGGCCCAAAGACACATATCCGTACAAGAAAGAAATCCGTGCATCAGATTCAGAATAGTTTCTATTTAAACATGATAATGAAATAGACCCATAGGCTAGGCTCTTGTACGATTTAGGCATTTGTGCAAGCTTGCATGTGTGTGTGTGACAAATGAACGATTTTAAAGTGAATTTAGTTTAAATTAAAACACGAGAAATATTTGAAGTAATAGAAGGTTAAGTATCTCTGTGTCACGTGGTTTTGTTTGTTTACCTTTAGTTAATTACCTAAACAGATGGACTATAGTTGCTGTTTTTTGATAAATTATGATAAAAGTGTCGTCTATACATAGGTATAGGTACTATAATAATATTGTAGAAAACTGAAAACTGAACATCGAATTAAAAAAAAAATGCTTTTGTCGTGATCCACAGTCGATACCGACACCAATAATATGGTTTTTAGAATTTAAGACTGTTTGTCTGTATGTATGTCAGGGATGAACTCAAAAACTGCTGCATGGATTTACTTCAAATTTTGCATAGATATTACTAACAGGTCTGGTTAACATCTAGGCTACATATTACCATGCTATCAATTATGGGGGAGGAGCTATGAATCACTATTCCACGTGGACGAAGTCGCGAGCTCAGTTAGTATTTTATAAAGGGTGATTTTTCACTGTTTATCAAAAAATACAGAGATAAAAATGAGTACAAACTGTATTTGCGCAGGCCTTAAATTATCTACATAAAGTGTTTAAGTTCCTTACTTAATGAAAAAAAAAAATATCTGAAGATGTTTCTACTATCGGAAAAATATCAATAAAATTATTATTGAAATTTTGATCTACTTCTCTAAACGGAAACATAACAACGCCTTTTTTATACGCAGAAGGGTTTTTTAAGGGGGTACAAATCATCGCAAATCATCGAATGCCTGCTCCCGCGTAGGTGAGGCGGGAGGGAGTGTCAGACTCTTACTGACTAAAAACCATCCCGTTCCTTCTCCTGCACGTCGAGTCGGAGCCCCGGTATCCCGTTAGGTTCTCCGCGACATACGCAGAAGGGTGGAGGTTTTTTTTGAACATATTTTAATCACAGAAGTGGAGGACATTTTTTTTAACTCTCCAAACTTGAACCAACTTACATATGTCCAACAATGGACGGACTACTGTTTAATAACAGACAGATAATGAATAATCACCAAAGTTACAGTCATCAGAGATCAGTAGAATTGTTAATGGGTTCTCATTTATCATTGTTACCCAGATCTGATACATCTTGGAAAGTCATAGACACTACGATAGACTGCATCATTGGCCGAGTGGTCGTAAGTGCAACTGCCGGGCAAGGGGTCTCGGGTTCGATTCCCGGGTCGGGCAAAGTATAACTGGGTTTTGTTGGTTGGCCCGGTATAATAATATAGCAATTGGCTCACCCCCTATAACATAGGACTCATAACGTAAGTGAAAAGTGGGTGTTACATTGTACAGTAGCATAATGTACACCTCTGCCTATCCCTTCGGGGATATAAGGCGTGATGTTACGTTATGTTACCACGATGGTTTAATTATAATTTTATATCATGTATTGTCAAGACAAGATTCCATGTGAATCCCTTATGTCGATACCATAAAAGAATACTTTTATTTCACATTCTACTTCCCACATAAATCTATTTTATGACATTTTAATATTGTTTTTAAAAGTATATGTGTGTTTTCTTAAGTGATAACTTGTTAAACCTATGATTTATCGGTTAATTAAAATTTTCATTCTAGACACAGCTAGAGGATATTTCCATTTATTTTTTGTTACAATTTTCTCATCAGTTCTTTCTGTTATGCGTTTTTATATGGCGAAATTGGTTAATGGTGTTAATGTACTGGGTATTTAGTAAGGTAAGAGGAGTAATCTGGTTTGATACGTTAATTCAATCAGCCTCCCAAGGTCAAAAAACCACCCTTTGTATCACATAATAGAGTTTATATCTATTTATTTGTTTTTCTGCAATTTATTGTTTTGATACTCAAAATTACATTTGAGATGTGGCATAACGGAAAATGTGGTTAAAATAAACGTGAACATAGATGTGAAATAATAATAGTGACAGTTAATTGAATTATTGATTAACTTTGATTTGAAAGAAACAATATTTTTTCAATAAGCATTTATACTTTAGTATCTAGTGCTTAAAATAGCCGCCAATGTAACAAACGTCGAAACCTTCTTTTCTATTTAAAGTATAATTGTAAATAAACACCATTTTTTTCCATGTTTAGTTTTAACCACAATTATATTTTCAAACTTTGGTTTGCCTTAACCTATAAATGTAGAGTTTATAATACACAGTGAAAGTTTATGAACACATAGTAACAATAATTATTGCACAAAACTTTTTAAAACTTAAAGAAAAAAAAATATTCGTCGGACTCCGAACACTGTTTTTGTGTTAATTTTTTCCGGTTAACTTAACACCCAACTTAAGAACTTTTCTAACAATAAACTCGGCACTATTGTTTTTTATAAACACAAAAAGAAAACAAAATGGACTTACCATCGTTAGGATTAGGCGCGCCATCAGACGGCCGATCCGGCTCCCCCGTCCCAACGAGGTTCCTGATGCTAAACGAGCTCGTCTTCCTAGATGTCGTCACTTCCGCAGTCACGGTGCTGACGTCACAACCGCTCTCCGTTCCATTCACTAAGTCCCGGCACACCTGGTCAGTCCCATTCCCATTTAAAGACAAAACGTCCCCAGCACCTTCCAACATGTCCCCCCGACGAGTGGTCAAGTCCATTTTTGACAGCTACCTTGGCACGAAACAGATTCAGAACTGTACTTTTGTTTTTAACTGACATTTTCGATCACGCCGCGCGGGAAAATTTGACAGATAATCCGAATTCGGAATTCATTTCAGTTTTTTTTTTCTTTAGTCGAGTATGTAAACTTTTTGCACTAGTTAAGTCACTGGCCACTTAAGTTTGAGTCACAAATGGCGTGTTGCAATTTACTTGGTCATTTGCATACGTCTATAATACACGTATTGATGGTCACAGTCTAATCACTGAAGGCACTAGGATGAGATAAGAGCGCAAGGTTCCACTAGAGGCGCGTATGTTTTCCGCCGGCGTCAGTTGCGCGAATTTTTGCGACAGTCGCGCGCGGCGCGCGGTGACTCCGCGGTGGTGAGGCCGACTGGTCCTCCGTCCTCTTCGGCCGTCGCACTCGTGCGGCCCTCCCTACGCCTCCGTAGGCGGGGCCTGTACGCCCCTCGACGCGCTACAATTGCAGCCGCGCGACTTTTTAGTCTTCAATGACGTCAATTACTGCGCGATTTTTTTAAACTCGATCGATTTGTTCTAATGAGTTCTAATTGCATTTATTGATAAGTGCAAATGCTTAAGGTTACAAAAGAGACCGGTTGACGCAATTTTCTTAATGTGTTGAGTTTGTTTTTATTTATTGGGCGCGGTACTTGTAGTGACATAATTATGGCGGCTGGTAATTAGGTGTCAATGCAATTATCATAATTAGACAAGCCGCGACCTCCGCTTGATGAGAATAGAAAAAAAAACATAAGTACAGCTTGCTAATGATATTATATGTTATATATTTTTTAAATTATATTAGAATTTTTGTATAATACTTATGTGTAGTATTTTATATAGTTATTAATTATTGTTCACTTGACGACCCATATCCGACTCCTATTGGTGCTCCATCCAAAGATTGTTTGTAAGAAATCGCCTTGTGCGATAAAACCGTTTGTACACTATTTTTGTTAGTATTATCCTATAATACGATTGTGAGGTGTACAATAAAGCATATATTATTATTATTTATCATATGGAATGTTTTGTTAAGTCACATGTTATTAAAAAATTCACTATTAGGTTATGCACTAGCATGTCATTAAGTCATTATACAGGATACCTAAGTTAATTAAAAATCAAGGCTAGTTTTCGAAAAACCGGACCGAGTTCAAGACCTAGAGCTTAATAATGTATTAATGATTAACTGACAATTCAATTTAAATACTATTTAGGTAGGTATTTATGTATTATTCTCCTTTTGAGTTGTATCCATTTTAATGTTAATTCGAAGCTACATAACATAACATCACGCCTTTTATCCCCGAAGGGGTAGGCAGAGGTGCACATTATGTCACTGTACAATGTAACACCCACTTTTCACTATTTATGTTATGAGTCTCATGTAATAGTGGGTGAGCCTATTGCCATATACCGGGCACAATTCCAGACTCCGTGCTACTACTGAGAACTTTTTAAAAACCCACTAATACTTTGCCCGACCTGGGAATCGAAACCGAGACCCCTTGCCCGGCAGTCGCACTTGCGACCACTCAACGAGGCAGTCAGTTCGATGCTATAATTTTACCATAACTAACATTTATATCTGAGTAGCTATCTTGTATAAAGTATTTCCTTAAGTAACTAAGTAAATACCTATCTAAAACATTTATTTAATTATACATTAAATACTTATCTGCTTACAAATAAATAATGTTTCCATTCACAATTAAACACTGGTAACAAAATTGCTATCCGTTTATTTTAATTTAGCAACATAAATTGAGATAGCGTGGGTCCCCTAACTAAATCAAGTTCGACACCCAATGAAATAGAAATACGAACACAAAAGTCAACAGGGCTGACACATAAACGACTAAGTATTATATATTTATTCCTACTATATGATAGAAACATTTCTTTTTATATTTCATGGGCCGACGTTTGACCGCTATATCTCGCCTAATGGTAAGCGATGATACGGTCTACGATGTAGCACGTCGTTGCATAAGCAACCTATATACTCAGGCTTTGAAGACACCCTTCAGGTAATACAGACTCTGGCAAAGAATTCCACTCCTTAGCAGTACGCACAAGGAAGCTTGATGCGAAGCGCTACGTGTTATGGGTGGGACATCTACAATGAATCGGAGACGTTTCGCCGATTGTCGATGACGATGATAGAGGACTAGGGAGACATGGACTGTCTAATTTGAGATCTCCAGTTTCGTTCGTTTTGAAAATGAAGACATGGATTCGGGGTTTAAGGTCTTTGTAGGAACATAATAGGATGTCTAACGCGACTTGTTTCATGAATATGAGCCTCTAGCATGGCTTGAAACTAGTCGAGTTCCTCGTCAAACAATTACGTGAGTAAGCCGAAAACATAATAATTAATTTTGTATGTTTCACGAAAGTTTTCATATACTTAAACTTGGTTTAGAGTGTTTCTGTCTAGGTACCTGTAAAGGTAGAGCTGCAGCACCTGTCGTAGATTTTAAAGTAGGTAAGTACTAAGACTGACAAGTGAACGTTCTTTCAAAGTAGGTACCAAGGGCTTTTAATATTTGGGTGAATTGCCCAAGCAAAAAAATACACGGCAAACCTGAGAACGGTAGTGCAATTTGCTGATTATTAATTTTATATATTTTTTCTCAACAACGTAAGTATTTCTCTACCTTGGCAAAAAAAATCATTGGTATCTACCCTCTAATATACCCAAAAAAAAAATTACAAAGTGTTATTTTATCATCACGGTGACCTGTCCTGAACCCAATTCCGCTCATAACATACCTTCTCCTGCAAATACATTCGTAATATGGATTTAAATTGATTTTGTTATCATTAAATTATAATATATTCGATCAAATAAAACAATTTTTGTTTGTTTATCTTCTTTCTCATGGATTTGACAGGCAGTCAACTTTTGTCTGGAAAAAAGTTATCATTTCAGAGGACAGTAAGTTTTAGTAGAATAGCCACATCAACATTGCGTTGTTACGCCCCTTTCACCTTTTCTCACTCCGGATCAGTCCGGCTTAAGCTCTCGGCGCGAACGCACCGGTCCCAACGTCTTGCGGTTTCCCGCCAAAAAAGTAAGTTTATCATTTCAGTAATATGGGGACAAAAATAGTTTCATTTCGGTGGCTGTTATAACTCGTGCTAGATTTGTTTAATTTGTTTCAAAATTGTGTATTAAATTCGCAGTAAGTACTGTTTTGTTTGAGTAGTGTTCATATTTTTTAAATAATTTTTTTTCGGAGTTAAATGTAGAACTAACCTCTATTTTATCATCTCAGTGTTATCATTTCAGTGGATTCGGTGGACTGTTATACCAATTACAGTCCACCGGAATTAAAAGTATCTCCGAAATGATAAAAACATAAAGTTTTAGAGATCCTGGTGTCAAATACAAAGTCATAGTTTTGTAATGTACCTACTTTTACCTAGAGTGTCGATTAGATTATTTAGGTGTATTTGTTGTGTAATATTTGTGCTTAAGATATATAATATATACATATATCTATGTAGTTAGTACATGTTTACTATACTTTAGATACACATTTGTTCGGCTCAACGAAAATGTGATGAGTGTGTGGGTCACCACAGTGTAGATTATTATACCTACTAATTGTCAACAAAATAATTATTTCGAGGGTTTACCTTCAATATAAGTCACTTACCTTTATTTTTATATCATTTATTACGAGTAAATAACAATAATAAATAATATTTGATATAATTACAAAATTTCTTAATTTTACAAGATATAACAAATAAGTTAAAGAGCATTTAAACGTTATATGAAAAAAAAAGAGATATACCTATGTGATGAGAAATTGCCTGTGAGAGTGTTTGTCTGAGTCAATGCAAGAGAGCTAGTGTGTGAGCGCGTGGTGTATCTGAAGGTATAGTATTTTATAGGATCATAGTATAGTGTGTATGAATGTATGTCTGTGGATATGAGAAAGAAGAAAATTGAAAAGCGTGTATTTTGATTTTAGGATGCCGCGGCCTAAGCAACAGACTAGAGAAGAAAGGTTGGAAAAAAGGAGGTTGTATGAAAGAAGAAGAAAAGAGAGAATTAAGAGCAATGAAGTCTCACGCGAAGAGTTTTTGAGAAAAGACAGAGAAAGGTATGCCAGAAAAAAAGCAGCGGGATTAATTGTTTCAAGGCATCTAATGACCCCTAAAAAATTAAGAATTCTAAGAAGAAAAAACAAAATAAGTGCTGCTGCTTATTACCAAAGAAAAAAAAATAGAGCAGCTCCAGCTCCTATAGCGGCTCGTGCTAACCCTCTGGATGAGACAATTGGGGATCAAAGTGATGGTCCTGGACTAAGCACTTCCTGTCACAGTTCCTTCTTGCCTGCTTTACGGCGCAGCTTACGATTGAACAGCAATAGTATTAGTACGAATATCCAAATCCAACGTTCTAATACTACAGAAGCTAGAAGCTTTCATCGGGTATACACAAGCAGTCCACGACAAACCCTGCTATCAACGCATCAAAATTTTGTAAATTTTGACTATAGCAATCCTGGTCCAAGCACTTCTCAAGGGAATCCATCTTCGGCTCGGCGCTGCTTGCCGATGAATAGCGATAGTACAATTGGTTCCAATATTCAACATCATATTGATGACAATGTAGTAACTGGCACTCATTGTGTACAACCAAGTGGCGTACAACGGTTATTGTAACCTCAAAGAATGATATATGTAATAATACTAACTGTAATATCTGTATATTAATGATGATATTAAAAAAACTGTGTACTGTCCTGTCTCAGTGTTTATCTAAAATTTGTGGAAATCAAACCTAACAAAGTACGGAACCCTGGCTGGGGGCACGGTTGTTCTTAGCTGTATCATTTCGGTGGATTTATCATTTCGGTGGTAATTTTTATCATTTCGGTGGACACTTTTAATTTCAGTGGACTCTTAAAACTTTATCCTTAAATATTTATGTAAGTTTTGATAATATTTGATGTCCACTCACGCACAATGTTATAAAATAGACTAAAGTATTATTTGTCACTAAAAATATATAGATTGCATTGAAATAAAAAAATCCCACCGAAATGATACATAAAAATCTCTTGTTGAAATTCACCCATTTATACAATGATTTCATTTCTAAACAAGAACATTTATTTGTAGATCAACGATAGGTCATTTATCTACATAGATACTTCTTACTTTTACTGTTTCCAGTAATATTACTTCACACCTTTTATCCTCGAAGGGGTAGGCATAGGTGCACATCACGGCATTTATGCCACTGTACAAAGTAACACCCACTTTTCGCTATTTAAGTTATGAGCCCCATGTAATATGGGTGGGCCTATTGACATATACCGGGGACAATTTCAGA